CCCCACCCCCCCCTAACATCCTCCACCACCTATGGAACACCATGTCCCCTGTAACCCCCCCAGCCCCCTCCTCCTGTCCTGCAGGGGGGGAGGGACACACACACCCCATGTCCCCCTGCCTCATCCTCCCCACTCCCCTCCCTCTGGGCCACCACGTCCCCTGCATCCTCCCCACCCTGACCTCCTCACGCCTTGCAGGGTGGGACGTGGAGGCTGGTGGCAGCGGTGGTGGCATCAGCCCCGAGGTCCTGGTGTCCCTGTCAGCCCCCAAGCAGTGTGCCCGCCGCTTCCTGGGCCGCCAGCACTTCCTGGCCGGGCGCTTCCTCCCCTACGACCTGCAGAAGAAGTTCGAGCTCAACCCACCCCAGTACCCGGGCACCGAGTGTGTGGTGGCCCTGCCAGCCCCCCGGGAATAAAGCTCTTGGTGGCTCTTCCCTGGGGTCCATGTCTGCCTGGGGACTTGGGGACAGTGGCCTCCCAGCAGAGCAGGGGCTGGGGGCTTGTGCTGGGGCTCAATTCCACCTGCTCTTGGGGACCTGGTGTGACTTCCTCTATTGTCTGTCTCATGGGGACACGAGTGGCTGCAGGGTCCCCCTTTGCTGCTGCACCCCCACCCTCCCCGACCCCCCCTTAGCTTGAAACCCTTAAATGCATCTGAAAAGGGTCATGGGAACAGCCCCCTATTATAGGATGTTTAATCAACAGTGATGAGCCACCCCTGGGGACTGTCCCCAGCTGTCCCAGGGTGTTCTTGGCCCCACAATAGCCCTGGGAGCTGCCCCCTTCTTCCCCCCTCCCCAGGTGCCACTGGGGTTTTAGGGAATGCAGGAATGTGCTGGGATTTCCACCAGCTGGGCTATGGGAGAGGGCTTTGGTTTGGGGGCGACCCTGGGTGGGTCCCCCCCCCCCCCCCCCCCCTTGCACCCACTCTCCAACAACGCTGCCTGCCTTGCCTCCTGCAGCCCCAGAGGGCAGTCGGGGCCATGGGTGCACTGAGCTGTGCTCGGCCTCAGCTCCACCTTGGCACAGGGACACGGGTGGCTCTGGCACAGCCGTGTGGGGCAGGTCATAGCACGGGTGACCCCGGCCCCACCAGCCCCCCATGCCCCAGAGCACGGGGTGCCAGGGCAGTGCTGGCACCCTGACCTGGCCACAGGAGCGCCGAGTTTGGCCTCACTCGCCTTTTTAATTCCACTCGCCCCCC